TAATAATTATAATAAATTCTACTTAAGGAAAAGCTGTTTAGAAAAAGAATTAAAACGATTCTGCTTTTGTAAAAGTTAGATCACATTAAACTTAATTATATAATTATATAATTACTATTTACAATTAATTAGTCGTACTATCGGAATTAGAAAAAAAACTAAATTTGTATTTTTTCAATGAAATAAAACACGTTTTTTTCTAATGTTTTTTTCTATTAGAAAAAAAAACCGTTTTTTTTTACATCTCTAAATGAAGTTGATAATAGACAGAGAAGAGAAAATCCTGAGAGGATCTTGAAGAATGAATAAATCGATAACGAATAGAAATATATGACGGAAAGAACAATTTTATTGCTGGATGCAGATTTGAAAATAATTTTTGTTGAAAAGTCAAACTGATTGCTAGAATATCAAAATAATTTTGTTAGAAAGTTAAAAATGCTCATTTTTAACTTTCCAACAAAATTATTTTGATGATCCCACAAGAATTATTTTTAGATCTGTATCCAGCAAAATTTTTAGACTTTCCAGCAAAATCTTTCTTCCCGTGATAGATAGGGGAGACCGGGGCTATTTGGGACACGGGGCTATTCGAGACAAAAGGAAATATCTCTTTATGAGTATGTACATGTTAAAAACTCACTGTAATTACTGTGAACACGTTCTAATATAGCAATGCTGTTGACAAAGTTTTATTGGCGCTGGCGTCGTATTGTTGTCGTAGCAATGAAAAATATATTTCATGATAGTAAAAGTAAACTTCCTGTGTTTCGCACTGGTCGACATTTCTATTTATAATTCAAGGCAAGTACAATTCCGTGATGAATCTATAACGGCATTATGAATTTAAGAGTTCAACCTTTTAAACCGTGTAATGAATTATTTTTCATAAATACAGAATTCAGAAGAAGTAAAAGAAAAAAAAGTATTCCGAATAGCCCCGGTCTCCCCTATGTATTTTGTTGATTATAACCGTTAATTGTGTCGAACTGTGAATCCAATGATTCGAATACTCAAAAAACACAAGAATTATAATAATATTCTATGCGGCGTGGTGGTATGATAAAAGCGAACGGAAAAATCTCAGCGCATCGCGTGCCTCTGCAGTCCAATGTCATCCGATGTTACTGCGGCTGTTGCTGGTCCCGGGCAATTCCGCGACTGCGTGTCTGGCTTCGCTGGTGCTCGTCGATAACTGCCCGCACGATATATCTCGGAACAGCGTGCACGTGCCGCAGCAGGTACGTATTCCATCCCGCAAAGCGGGTTTGAGGACCATTTTAGCTAGAACACACCACGCTGTGGTCCAAACCTTTCGCTCTTTCGCCTTCAGAATCAGCAATAAAATTGCAACATTTTTGAGAAAAAAAAAACAAGTATTTTGTAATTTTGTATATTTAAAAAGTTTCATTTTACATTTTTTAATCCTTGGGAAATATTTTTAAACTAAATATTGTACGTAAAAAGTAAACTGGAAACGACTGTGACGAAAGTTGGCGAGTTCGATGGATACCGCACTGCAGCGCAGTATTTGACAGTTAATCTTATCGACAGAAGTCAGTACGCCGCGCGTGCTTTTGGCATTATATATCCGCGCGTGACTTTTGTCAGGATGAAAGTTAAATTAAGTTAGACTCTAATTAACTTTCAGCCATAATTGCGTTTGCGTCTTTCCTCACTACACGTTCCCGACTTTTAATCTCGGATTGTTAGGGCGCAGACCAACGTTGAAATCTCATTTTTCATCCCGTTAACGTCGAAAGTTCGCGATGCAGAAATTAACATGACGCTTAATAATAGTACTGGAGGATTAATCGTGTGCTCTGTGCGTATTCCCTGTAATTCCCTTTACTTTTTCATATTAAATAACATGGTTGATTAGAATAGTGAAGACATATTTCTACTCATATTTCATATAATTGTGATATTTGTTAGTAACTTCATTCTTCTCTGTTGAAATTACAATTATCATAGATTTTTATTATTTTTCTGTGAATGTAGAATTTTAATAACATAAACATTATTGTAAACGTTTAAACATGTTTGAACAGATAAACAAAACATACATGTTCCAATTAATATTATATCAGTAAATAAATGTAATTTGATATAAGCGAAGAGACGTATTTCAAATAAATGATGTACTATATTGTCATAGATTTTTATTATTTTTCTGTGAATGTAGAATTTTAATAAGATAAAATTGTAAACGTTTAAACATGTTTGAACAGATAAACAAAACAGGTTTCAATTAATATTATATCAGTAAATAAATGTAATTTGATATAAGCGAAGAATCGTATTTCAAACAAATGTAATATTGTATGTGTATTATATTTCTGCTTTGAAAATAATTTTTTTATTTTAATAATAAGTTATATATTCAACAGGTGCTTTTAAATCATTAAGCAATTATATTTTATAGACTTCAACATTAGACAATATTCCGATATCATATTCGTTCTGATGTCAGGATTATAATCTTGAATAATCATAGATGTAATTAAAATAATTCCAATTTTTGAAACCAGATAATAATCGATCAGAATTTAAATTAATTAATTAGTAATCCAATTTGCAGTCTTATATACAACATTAAATTAACTGAAGTTATCGCTCTATATCTCATTTGTAATCTGATTCTTAAGGTGGTTTTATCGTGCAAGTCCCAGTCAAAAGTTAGTCCCTCCATATGACTAATAATTCAAACAAGCGTAATTGAATAAAAACATTTCGCATAGACTGTACATATGCGATTGTGTGATGTTTATGTGACAACGTCACACTATCGAGTTGGCGTTGAGCCATCTTAATAAGAATCTAATACCAGAGTCAGCTGCAAAGAATGTCAGAAAGCAAATAAATTATACCGCGAACACGTAATGCACACTTGATATTTTATTTCAGTATTAAAAATAGACATTCTGCAAGCGGCTGAATATTTTATATCGATCGTAGTAAGGATGATATTCAAAAATACAATCGGCATCAGAATTATATTATTCTAATATTATAAACTTAGCTACTTTTGCAGAACAAAATATTCGATTAATTTGTAATAAACTTTCTTCATGTGTCAAGTAATCTTTTTCTACCTACGAAATATTTGTGAAAAAAAACTACATTTGATTTTTATTTAATTTAAATGTATAGGTAAATTTGCAATTTGAAGTTTTTTACTAGGAATATAATTATAGCTTATCTTGTACATTTTATTGCGTACTATTTTTAATTAATAAAAACTGTGATATAAAAATTATATAAGCAAAATAAGTGAGCGTTTTCATAATTCATTGTGTTACTGTTTTATACTATTTTTAATTAATAGAACTTACTGTTTTATACTATTTTTAATTAATAATAAAACTTACTGTTTTATACTATTTTTAATTAATAAAAACTGTGGTATAAAAATTACACAGGCAAAATAAATGAGCGTTTTCATAATTCATTGTGTTACTGTTTTATATTATTTTTAATTAATAGAACTTACTGTTTTATACTATTTTTAATTAATAATAAAACTTACTGTTTTATACTATTTTTAATTAATAAAAACTGTGGTATAAAAATTATATAGGCAAAATAAATGAGCGTAGTCATAATTAATTGTGTTACTGCAAAGTAGGTATCTTTCGTTTTGTCTAAAACTTAAAAAAAACAAACATGAATTTTATTTATAATTTCTGATTTATTATTTATATTTATAATTTACAACATTCAATTACTTTTTAATAGAGACTACATATTGCATAGAATCGATATCACCTGTATGCGAACAATGAAAATTATTGATAAAACATTTTTCAAACACGGTCGATACTTACATTTTGTAAATCGGGAAGCACGCGAGCAAAAAAATACGCAATTGCAAGGATACGTTTCGATGAGGAGCCGTGCGCACCGCGTCGCCGCGTTGGGTCAGCGGGCGCAGACCGGCGCGCGGCGCACGAGTGAAGGCACGCTCGTGGTGGTCGTCGACGGCGACGACGACGACGACGTCGACGGCGACGACGACGTATGCGCGAATCTCCGTCAGTCGGCGACGGAGTTGCCTGGTTGCAGCGTGGGTGACACGCGTTCGCGTCGGCCCGGCCAGCTCGATTCGATTAAACCTCGCAGCTGCAGCCCTCTCACACGCCGCGAACGGGGTGAGACCTCGTGCCGCCGCCGCCGTGGCCAGTGGCTCGTTATACCGAGCGTCATCATCCCTTCGCGCGTACGTCAGAGTTGCGTGATCGCGATTCGCGTCCCGACACCGTACACTTCGAGGACGAAACGTCGAATCGTGCAACGATCCGCGGCCGCCTCCCATTCGTAACGTCGACACGCGGGTGCGAGAGATAATTGAAAGGATCTCCTCGCGAAGGCTATAATTCTCCCCTGACCGTTTTCCGTCGTGCGCGTGAGAACGGCGCGAGATGAATATACGCGCCGATTGCGTTTCCACGATCTCGTCGTCCTGATGTGCCGAAAGCGCGGATCCTGTGCAAATCTCGCGAATACGTGTCGCTGCAAGTTAATTTAAAAGTTCCGGACTTCCCAGGATATCAATTTCATGGATTGTCACTTTTTGCATCAAGGTTTTTTATTTACTTTGCTTAAATAAATACGAGTTTGTGATAGCATTGAAATTCTAAATAATCACAAACAGTGAAACTTCATCAAGTTTATTCATAAAATCAAATAAAAAATAGATCTGTTGCTTATTTTCTTTTCTACACGGAAAGAACAATTTTGTTGAAAAGTCTAAAAATTTTGTTAAATACAGATCTGAAAATAATTTTTTGTTGAATCATCAAAATAATTTGTTGGAATGTTAAAACTGATGAGCATGGCTATAAAATGTTTTGATATTTGATAGCGATCATTTTAACTTTTGCATAAAATTATTTTGATTATTGAACAAAAATTATTTTCAGATCTGAATTCGGTAAAATTGTTCTTTCCGTGTAAAACTTGATTTGCAAAAATTTTATCTTTTTTTAAATTATTTAACAACTTTTGTTTTAAGGAAAAGCTAAATTTATCCAAAATTTTAATTTTAATTTTGCGTTCTGTATATCTTGTATCCTAACATCTTTACTTGTTTTTGCTATGATTATTTCTATCAACATTATAAAGATGGTCGCATTTGAGATCGAAACCTTTGACATTATTATGACATTATTAGAAATTTATATTTTCAATATACATTAGCATGAATTACTTCGATTGATTAATTAATTCTCTTTTATTATCTTTGATTTTTAATAGATCTACTCATATAAGCTGAGAAATTGTTCTTTTAATTTTTATCCAAAATTTATCCATAAGTAAAAGAAGTGTATACGTATATATTATCTTAGCCTGGTATCAGAATTTCTCTCTCTCTCTTTCTTTCTCATTTCGTATAGAATTAAATTTTGACGTACTTTCATCAATAAATTCCAACACAGCTTCCACTACATTTTTGCAATATTCTTTGAAAAATATGCTAAATATACGCAAGACTATTTATTTACGTAAACCTATTCTATATGCGTATATCGATTTATCGAAACGCGTTCTTTGAATCTATATGAAACAGATTTATGTCACGCTTTACATTTTAACGCTACTTTTATCGGCTACTATAACACGCAATATAGCCCATCATTCAACGTCCGATATTCAATTACACACCTACGCTTTCCACAGAGATGTGTAAGTGAAGGGGAGGGGGGAGGTTCACTTTATCTGGTCATCCATTCGAAGCATATCACATATCGGAAGAACATTATCTCCGTTTCGAAGGCTTGTGGATTTTCATATAGGACATAATCAAACGGAATGTTTGATATTCAGTTCGCGAGTTAGATAACTATATTTTCAAGTATGAAATTATGTATTTAACAGCAATAATATTATTTCAAATATTGGATTATCTGAGTAATGAAAATATTATTCTGACTTATGGGTTTATCCCAATCATTTTTGTCAACTTTTCTGCACTTTCGCTAAACATTATGTATTCAAATAGAATGTAGATTAATATAACTTAAGTATCTACTGATTGTGAGTGACACCTGTGTATTACGTGAAAATTTCTGAGTCTCTGTGAGTCTATGTTTAACTATTATTTGTTATTATTGTTTCCTTGTCGTGCATAAACAGTAATAAAATAAGCGCGGAAAGCGCAATTAGATTATCTATACAGATGATCTATGATAAAAACGAGGATAACAAAGCGTTAAGAAGACATTCTTTGGCGCAAAGAATGAAGAAATAAAACAAATGTAAATAAAAGATACAATAATTCAGTAATAGATTTGTATAAATATACAAATAGTTAGTATTCAAAGAAAAATAATTTTTGTTTAATGAACCGTCTGTATGTTTTAAGAAATTAATAATATTATAATAGATAAATAAACTGATTGCCAAATATTTGAGGAATGACTAATAATAAGAATTCTCATATTACTTGATCTCTTGGTCTATTGAAGATAAGAATATTTCACGTGATATGATAATTAAAACAAGAATATTAGCTCCATTTCTAACAATAACTCAACGCCTTCCTCTTTTAAATGGATTTGTATTTCATAAGGTTTTCTATTATTATTTGCTAATGTTATTATCTTGTATTTAATTTTAACTTGTATTTGATATACTTACTCTTGGGATAGAAATTACTTTATATGTTCGCATAATTATTGTGCATATATTGCGCAATAAAAATCAAACAAAAATGTTTGTTTTGGATATCATCGTAATAGCTGATTCCCGGAATGTGTATATGTCCTTAAGCTGCATGCTAGCTCAGCTACCGGAAGACGAGCGAGATGAGGTCTTATCGGAAGTGCATCCGTCAAAATGAAATGATTGGAACCAGCTTGCAACGCACTTTATGTTACGCCATGATTACCGGTCTAGCAAGAGGAGAACGTACAAGTTCACGCAGCACAAGCGGCATTTATCTAATCAGATCGATGTTTTGCCACTTTATAACCTTTAACCCTTAACTGGCGACATGGGAAAAATCGGCATAATTGGTGATGAAGTATTTTTCGCTATTCATGTCTTTCAAGCCATTTGCGTTTATTTGATTCTTTAGATTCTCAAGAAATTATTACGCGTGAATTTTCAAGGAATCTAAAGAATCACTTCTGAATATTACGTTAATTACTTTTATTTAAAACATTTAGGAAAGCAAAGAAATATGAAACAAATTATCGCATTTAAATTGATATTCTTAATTATTTCATTATTTTGTAGACAAGGGCTGGAAGATAAAAATTAATCTATGTTTAGTTTAAAAGAAACCTTACATGTCCTTTTAAGAATTCAGATTTATTAAAGCTACATGTTCTGTTATCTTTTTTTTTTATTAAAATTTGATAAAGTTTTAAACAGAATTTTGCATTTTATTTTCAACTATATCGAATATTTAATTTTTGTCTTGATCTCTGTTCTTATTTCTTTTTTTCGAGGTAAGTCGCGTTTTTCGTCAAGAATAATTTCTATTTGATTAACTATCTACAAATAATAATTTCTAATAATTATACAAGTCTTAACTTTATTGTGTGAACTGTTTACATTATTATTATTATTATTTCTACAATACAATTAATATATTTTATTGAGTTTCAAGAGAGTCAATCATCAAATCTTTAGATAAAGATCTAAAAAATTTAATAATAAATAAGCCGTTGATTAAAAGAACAGATTGTTATTTAAATACGGAAATTAGCGTACTTAATTATGTCATGTTTCGTACTTGTAACTATTACAAGTTATATACCTTTTAAGTTTCAAGTCGTTACACATATTTCATGTCGCTACTAAACTATCTAAACTATAACAAGCAAAAGAGAAAAAAAATATATACGTATATGTCGCAGGCAAATGGTTTAATTTTGGCCAGTAGCTTTTGACTAAACAAATACTATTTGCCTGGTTAAACGGACGCATACATTTTGAAACGTGAGTCGCGAGGTTCCACGTGGGTTTGCAACTTTTTACGCGAAGCGAGGTCCACCCCATACCAAGAAATGGTTTGGGTTAGGTTAGTTATTTGAGACGAAGTGGTGACCTCCCATAGGGGGGGGGGACGTACTGCCTCCACGCCTGTACTTTGCAACGCAATGAGGGAAAAGTTTTGACCAGGCAAATAGCATTTGTTTAGTCAAAAGTTACCAAAATTGAACTATTTGCCTGCAACTTCACTGAAAAAAGTAATCTTACAATTATAGCGCGAATTATTTAGGTACGAAAAATTAGCGAAAACGGATAAGTGATTAGTAAAGCATTGCGATATATGTTTTATATTTAATCAATATAGATAACAGAGATAGAAATTATATCTGAACTATTTGTCAAATTTAGCAAGAAAGTTTCTCTATGACGTTTAATCAATCCAGACTCCAATCCAGACTCCAATTATATTTAGTTATAAGACCTATATTTTCTTGCATATATTCTTAGAATATTGCTGCTATAAATTCTACATATGACAATTTTTTAGCAGATACAAAAAACAGCAATATAATTTAAGTGTAATATTTAGAATTCTAGCTGGAACAGCGAAACATTTCCCTGAGTGATATTATGTATTACATGCTTATCTGAATACCATTTGTCTAATACCGGTTCGGTCAAATATAGCATTTGCCTAGGAAACTAACATTTGACTAAGAAAATAGCGAAAATAAACGGGTGAAAGTCATTTGACTAGGCAGATAGTATTTGTCTAGTCAGAAGCTATTGATCCAAAATGACCATTTGCCTGCGACATATGTATACCCAACAAAGAAGTAAAGGTCTTTGATAAGAAAATAACGTTCCTTTTTGGTATAATAAGACGTTGAAGGCGACTCTCTCGATTTCAGAACGGGGCTCGTTAGCGTGTCGATTACGTGTCAGCATCTTCGCGAAGCACGGCGGCTGCTCGATGATCGTCTTCCCTTGTCGAGAGGACGAAGAAGCCGAGGACGAAGAGAACGGTGATTCGCGGATAGACGGATGTTTATGTCACGATCGGCGATATGTCGTGCGACAGAAGGGGACGAATGGCGAACAGTTGTGAAATGTCCCTGACAAGGGTAAACCGATCGCGAAATATAACTTGATAGAAGGGAACGACGGGACTCGCGGCGAGGATCATGCGGGATTATTTCTAATCTCCCGTGACCCTGCGAAAGGCGCGACCACGACAGCATGATGTGGAAGGCGAAATGGTCACGCTTCACCGAGTGCTTCTGCCGACGGCCCGGCCTCGTTCTGGTTCTGCTGCCATGTCTGATTATCGTCACCCTCTACCTCGTTTCCGGCGACGAGTATGAGTACGACGTACTACAGTATCCGTCCTTCAAGTCGTATAACGTCGCTGAAGGTAAGAATCTTATCATCCCGTCATTTGAGTACTGATGCGTATTTTCGTCACATTAACTCTATAGGTATACATACTGGAATCCCGGGGACCCTATCCATATTAATTACTGCAACTTTAGTAAAAATGGACATATTTCAATTTTTTTTTTCAATCGATAAAGAATCGATTCAAGGAACAAGCGTATAATATTTAAAAGTCGATAGAATTAAGGAGATATACAGATTCAAAGAAAAAGGTTCAAAAACGCGTTAAAAAATCTCGATTTAGCACCTTTTTTCAAAAAATCATACCTCTTTTGTTTATAGACCGATTTGAAAAATCCTTGAAAATCCTGAAAAGGTATACTTGAAATAGTAACAAAAAAAATTTAGCGATCCGATATTTTAATTTTTTCAACAAAACTGCAAGCAGTCCCGGGAACCCTACGCTCACTTCAACTGTTCACTGCTCGGTTGTTGAGCGAAAATTACCGCGCGTCAACACGTCTTCCTACTCAGGAGATCCCAAACTTTTTTTACGTCAATATCCCAAACCCCACCCTTTCCAATTTCAGAAATGCCAAACCGAGAAAGTTTCGCTGGGGTCTCGAGGATCCCGGTGTGTATATCTAGGATTAATACAAGTCATACGTCTAACATCACAATTATATTATTAGATATTACAAAGAATTTACAAAGCGCGTTAGACATTACGCACATGCCATTTGTTGTCTAATACTCTCTATGCGTATAATACTTAATATTTTTGCAGATAAAATAATAAGATAAAATGATTGATGCTAAACAGAGCACTCTTTTGAACATTCTTTTGAAAACATTGTTCAAATTTTTGAAATTTTGGAATTTTTGAAAACAACAGTTATTTTCAAAAATACAGAAAAAAATTATCTTTAATAATTATTTTTAAATATACAATCACGAAACTAATTATCCGGTCAATGCGTTAATGTATCGATAATTTTTTCAAACTGTTGTTTAGGTGTTATTTAGACATTGTATTTATATATATATTTAGACAATTAACTGTGAAATTACCAGTGCTATAATACATGCATGGAATCACAACTTTTAATACTCGGAATTTTTCCGGACAATTAATTTCGTAATCGTGCAACTGTATGTCATATGCATGTGTTTATACACAATTTATATATAGATATAAATATGCGGATTATATATGCTATAGATATAAATATTAATTGTGCATACATATACATACACATACATACATTGCACGATCACGAAACTAATTGTCCGGATAACAAAAAAAAATTCCGAGTGTTAAAAGTTGTGATTCCACGCACTATAATATAGCACTGGTAATTTCACAATTACTTGTCTAAATATATATAAATACAACATCTAAATATAAATAATCAAAACATCTAAACAACAATTTGAAGAACTTGTAAATATTATAGAAATTATAAAACTTATAGAACTTATATTAACGCATTGTCCGGATAATTAGTGATTTCGTGATTGTATTAGAAGTATGATTTAGATTTGAAGGTTTTGCAAGATATGGCACTAATGTCAGTGTTGTCGAAGGCATTCCAACCAAAATTATTGTTTCTTGATACTTTAATATTACTCCATGATAGTTAGTCATTTACTGACAATAGACGCATGTTTATACCATTTTAAAAATGAAGCTTCCTAAAGAGCATTTTTAATCTCATGTTGTCATTATTAGTGAAGTAAACGCTATTAGAGCTGAAATGAAAAATCTTACCGCATCCTGCGTATTCTTTAGACATATTACTCCATCTGATTATCACTTGTTACGATGCAACGTGCTTTAGATGATACACACTTTCATAATTTCGAAGAAGTGCGAAAATTTGTTGGAAATTGGTTCAACGCTAAAAAAGAATCTTTTTTTCATCGCGGAATCCACCTCTTGCTAGAAAGATGGAAAAAAATTATAGAAAACAAAGGGAAATATTTTAATTAAGGTATTCGTATAATAAATCAGTTTTTATGACAAAAATCCTCAAAACTAAATCACACGTACTATAGAATATAGGTATATAAGAATATAAAAATTCAAATTATTAATAGAAGGCTATATTAGATGCATGAATTGTGTCAGACATAGTTAATAAATTCATAATTGAAATCAATTCTGTGATTAGTAATCGTGAATTTGTAGCAGTATTTCTTTGAAGGTTGCGATACTCAGAAATTTTGATCCGCAATTTCTTCCAGTCTGACTTGTCAGATAAGAGGCATCACAGTCCAAACAGGATATTTAATTTGTCACACCTTTCTTTAAATAATTCGAAGAACATCTTTTTAACAAAATAATCAAATTTATTAAGATTAAAGAAGTATTAACATTCAGATTACTTTTGAAATTATTGAACTTCAGAAATTGATTGAACGTACGCAATAATATGAATCAGGGAATCTTAACTTCGTTATTACCAGAGTCATGTTTGTTAGTTTGTTTAAATACCTATTTGTTAAAAAGAGAATAAGAGTTAATTATATTAAAAATAAAATTCAAAGGATAATCATTATGCAGCAAGATATTAACAATAAATTCAAAATTTCTTTAATGGAATCCGGAGTAAAACAAAAAAAAAGTTCTGTCATGTTTGCATCATTGTGCCTCTCTTTGTAAAAGAAGATGTTAAGATAAAAAGTTTAGATATGTACCGGAAAAATCCAAAATATATAATTGCACATTACAAATGATAACTTTTTGTTTAATTTATGGGCTTACTTTATATTATACACACTAATAAAAATTTAAATCGTATATATGTAAGTGTGCTTAGAATTAAATCTTAAAAAAGAAATGTTCACTGAATTTAATCTTCTGGCATTATATTTTGATAAAATTTATCCATAACACGAATAAAGCGCCAGCTATTAAAACACAATCTCTTATTCTCTCATACGATTACAATATAAAATAAGCAAAGATCGCGAGAGGAAAAATGCAAATACGAAATATTTTCACGAAAAAGCGATATTAAACTTCTCACATGGTACTTTTGAGAGTGAAAATATCAAAATCCATGTTTATGTCTATAGACATAACATAAGATCTATTTACAATTTTAATATATGCCATTATTAACTACTATATTAACAATTCTATGTATACATACGTAAAAATTGCATATTTTTTTGCAAAGCAACTCTGTTTTCTTTACACCAATCGATTCGTCTTATAATTCTGTGCATAAAACTATTAAGGTACAATTATCAAGAAATTAATAATTTACGAGATATTTTATATTTCATGTCGAAATATGACATGATAAAGTATTAAATATCTCATAAAGTATTGATTTTTCGATAACTTTACCTAATACTTTTATATGTAGAATAATTAGGGAAATCATATTATTTAAAAAAAACCATTTCATTTAAAAAACTGAAGGAACCTCCATGTGACCTTGAAATTATAGATTGAATATGTAGATATAAATATGCGTATATAGATGTAATATAGATATAAATATAAATTGTGCATATACATGTACATACATACACATACATACAATGCACGATCACGAAACTAATTGTCTGAATAACAAAAAAAATGCCGAGTGTTTAAAGTTGTGATTCCGCGCACGTATTATAGCACTGGTAATTTCACAATTGTTTGTCTAAATACATATAAATACAACGTCTAAATATAAATAACCTGAACAACAATTTGATGAAATTATCGATGTATTAATGCATTGTCCGGATAATTAGTTTTGTGATTGCATATGTTGCTGCGTTGATACAAAAGAGACATAAATATAAAAATAAGTATTTCTTACTTGGGTCACTTTTTTATCAACGCATTGATATGAAAAGTTTGGAGGATTCACTATAACGTTCGTAAGTACTTCAAATTTAATATATCAATAATCGATTACAAAAAAGTTTCCTCTCTTCAATATCTTTGAAATATTCACAAATTAACGAAGTAAAGTTCCCTGTCATCGATCCTCTCAACTATTTTTAAATAACACTTGACATGGTAAAACGTGTGGTAAAACGAAATGATTAATGAATAAAGCCAGTACATATCCGAGCGCGGGTGTTTTGTACAAATTCTCGTAGAAGTTTCTATTTCGATATAGGTTATACGCTTAACGATATCGTCAATATCTTGTTTGCACAGCTGCAGTACTTACAAAGTCTTCGTTTCTTGTGCGTCGATCGTTATCACAAAATACACGCTATATATTATCAAGATCTAAAGTTCGCGGAATTATATCGGATTATGTTTGGCAATATAGGCACGGTGGACGGTTATCTCGTATGGAATCCAAAATGTCACATGCTGTCCAAAAAGCCTTTGGAGCCGTCCATCGCGAGATTCGTGAGGAAGGAAAAACTGGAGAAATGCCCGAACGATCGCGTCCTCTCACAAGTTTCTAAGGAGCCTAACGGCAGCGTGTTTCTTTCCCTCGATCCCACCATAAAAAGCATGTACAGCGACGTCGCTTGCTGCTGGTCGTCCGTAGTCAGGCCCAAGGTGGATAAGCCCAAGAAGGACAATTACGATTCTACGATATCGTAAGATTTACTCATCGTCACTCTATATGCATTGAAAGTTCCAGCGTCATCTTAAAATATTGCAGGTGCTTTGAATAGACAAAATTTAATCAACTAAGAAAAGAGATTAAGTGGCAAAAATTAATTTGCTTATTCATTCATAATTGCGATATAAAAAAAATTACTGTACTAGCTGTAATCTGTAGAGATCGAAGTCGCACGGTGTTTGACCACAGTATAACCAGTAGGTCCACTCAGCAAAAAACTGAGTCTTCGCGCAGGTATCGCCGCGCAACTTTTATTTTGGGTTGGAATGCAAGACGATAGGAACGTACATATACATATGTGCAGACAATTTATAAGCAATTACATCAGAAATTTTCTTTAGTCGATCACAGCTCCTACGAATAATTGTTACTAATAAAACGTTTTATTCGATTCACACATTAAATTTATTAATTTACTGTATCGAATCCATATTATTACTTATCAGTCTTATTACTTGTGAGGTACTTTTCTCAATTCATTCCTGGATTTAACATGGTGGATGCTCACGTGATCTGGAAAAGGAGATCAAAGGTGCCGACACAAAGTGGACCTACTGGTTATACTGTGATTTGACCTGTTACACGATTTTTCATGGAAAACATTTGCCAATTGCCGGCCAATTGCCAATTCTTTTTTTCTCAATAGAGTCAAGCAGTGCGAGAACTTCACAGGACAGGTAGTGCTTCCGCGCGAAGTGGAGGTGGCATACGTATCGTGCAAGACGAAATCGAAGCCCTGCAAGGCGAAGACGAAGACGGTGTACGAGAACGTTCACGCGATCCTGAACCCGGAGAAGGTACGCGAACGCATAGATCACAATGGCAGCCGGCCCGGAAATTTTTCAAGGAAATTGAGCGTGCTCGTCCTCGGCATCGACAGCGTCAGTCGGCTGAACTTCTATCGGGCCATGCCGAAAACCGAGAGGTATCTGCGCGAAACCGGCTGGATCGGCCTGAAGGGCTACAACAAGATCGGCGATAACACATTTCCAAATCTGATGGCAATTCTGACCGGTCAGACGCCGCAACAAGCGTATTCGCGATGCAAGCCAACGGTGGCGTACAAGCTCGACAACTGCCCCTTTCTTTGGCACAACTTTCGCAATGCCGGCTACGTCACGGCCTACGGTGAGGACGAGACCGTCCTCAACACGTTTAACTACCTCAAGGTCGGTTTCGTCGAGCCGCCTACGGATTATTACTTGAGACCCTACATGCTGGCCAGCGAGAAACTCCTTAAAATCAAGAAAAGGTAACACAAAATTTAACTTATAACTACCAAAGCGTCCAAAAAGCAACCATTTTGTTGCCAAACGATAAAGATTCGTCGAAACATTTGTTCTGTTTACAGATTCAACATGAAGTATTGCACGGGTCCTGAGTTGAGCTTCGAACGGATCTTCGACTACGCCGTGAATTTTGCCCAAACCTTCGTCGACGTACCATATTTCGGTTTCTTCTGGACGAACACGATCAGCCACGATAACATGAACGGTATCTCGTCGATGGACGCTCGCGTGTTGAAGAAATTCGAATTTCTAGAGCAGGAGGGAATACTGAATGACTCGATGATAGTCTTCCTGAGCGATCACGGTATGCGCTGGGGCGAGTTTCGCAATACCTTTGTCGGATGGTACGAAGAGAGATTGCCGTACATTTACATCTGGCTGCCCGAGTGGTTCCGTCGGGAGAATTCCGAGGCCCATCGAGCCCTCGCGGTGAATCAGAATCGACTCACTTCGCCGTTCGACCTCTACGAGACGCTACGAGATGTTCTTACCATCGGTGGTGGCGATGCCGATTCGAGTCCGGGATGCCCCACCTGTCAGTCCCTCTTCGCACCTGTTCCCAGAGAGAGAGGCTGCCAAGACGCGGGTGTGGTTTATCACTGGTGCACTTGCACGGCCTTCAAGTCGATTAACGTCAACGACAGAATCGCTACCGGTGGCGTGCAGAAGTTCCTGGATCATGTTGAGAGCATCGTGAAGAATTACAAGGACAAAAGAGGCCGGCGGCTGTGCGCGCGGCTCAAGCTGAAGAAGATACACCGGGTGGACCAGGTGATTGATTTCGGCACGGATAATTCGTCCAGCATCGCTTATTTTTATATGATTCAGACGGCACCTGGTAACGGTAATTTCGAGGTAACCATCAGGTACCACGGCGACGGCAATTACACTCTATCCGATAGCGAAGTTAGCAGAATCAATCCTTACGCCGTGAGCGCCAGATGTCTGAACCGCGGTATGAAGCAGTATTGTCACTGCATGAAGTAAACGAACTTATCAAAGGTTTGGCTTTATACGCGTCTTGTCGTAACTTTGTACAATACTTCATTAGTATTTTGTTAATTGAGTCCGATAAATCGAATCGATCAAAAAGTTAATTCTTTTTAAAGCTAGAAGGCCTATAACTGACTTAAAAAAACGCAACTCCCAAATTGAAAATACATGGCGGTGAAAAGTATTTGTAGTTACTTTAAGGGTACAATTAATTTTGATGCTTGAAATGCTTTGAAATAGTCTTTGATTGATTCAATTCGGAAAATTTTTTCTTCTGATTCAGACAATACTTCGAAGTATTTGTAGTAAAAGTTTGACCGCGCTCTAAATAACTTTTCTGAAACATAATACCTCGCGATGCGTTTGTATGATGCATCGAAACAAGTTTTTACTTTTGTGATACGTCACGTGTCTTCTCCGCAACGATCGATTGGATTTAATACATTACTTTATTAAATATGTAAATCATGCAATTTTGAATCAATTATTGTTCAACACGTAAATGTGTGTGGCACAATTCTATTGATATGCTTGGTACATATCAAATATAAATTGATTGCCTCATCTCAAGGAACTAGGGACCTGAGTGTGGAAATACATTTCAAACACACACACACATACACACACACACACACGCACGCACGCACGCACACACATATATATATATACAGGGTATCCCAAAAAGGTCGGGACCTCAGAATATCTCAAAAAATAGTTTTATAAAAAAATGTTTTAAACAAAAGTTGTAGGACTTAAAAAGATCTATTTACTGATCTTATCGGTTTGCCCTTGGGCGGCGTCGCCAAAATCAGGTAAAAGATCATATTAATTTTTTTTTAATGGAACACCCTATTTTTGATTCATCTAAAATTATTTTCAAAAACGAAAATAAGAGCAACAACCTTTAATGGCCTTGATTTTGATATATGTTGTCAAGCTTATAATCCCAAACAACATTCAAAAGGTTTCAGTTATTGTTCGGACACCTTGGAGAATGCTAATGCTGACGGTACTGTAATTATCAAGCGCATGACTCAAGATTTACTTAACCAAACAATATTTTATCTAAATGTTTTAAAAGGCTCTTGGCACCAGTTATTAGATTCTGGAATCAAAAATAGAGTGTTCTATTTAAAAAAAAATTAAAGTGACCTTTACCTGATCTTGGCGACGCCGCCTAAGGTCAAACCAATAAAACCAATAAATAGATTTTTCTAAGCTCTACAACTTTTGTTTGAAACATTTTTTTGTAAAACGTCTTCCTTCCAAGATTCGCTGTTCCGATCTTTTTTGAACATCCTGTATATAGGTATATATGGACATGCTCTTTTACATCTACCATACGGAAAAAGCGATTTTGCTGGAAGGTCTAAAAATTTTGTTGGATACAGATATGAAAATGATTTTGTTGGAAATTCAAACTGGTTCCTAGAAAATCAAAACGTTTTACAGCAGTTATACTCATTATTTTTAAATTTTCAACAAAATTATTTTGATGATCCAATAAAATTATTTTCAGATCTGTATCCAACAAAATTTTTAGATCTTCCAGCAAAACTGTTCTTTCCGTGTTCAAGAACATAGCTGGGACTAGATTTTTCTAAAACCGCAGCTTGGCATTTAAATAATAATAATTGCGATAATAGTGTGATGATATCAATGAAGTTCAATGAAATTCATTGATCTCTCCAAATGACAAAAACAATTATTAACAAATGGAAATTAAATATAAAGCTACACGTCAAAAATTATGGATTACAGTAAGAAACATGTGATATTGCACATGTTTAAATTTATAAAAAGATATGCCACTAAAGGTATTTAAAATGTTACACATTCGCGCAATTTTGGATACAATTTTCAATAATTGGTTGATATTTATATTCATCTTGCCACCTACGATATTTATGTAATTTAACGTCAAAGAAATAATGAGGAAATTTAACGAGCATTGCGTAAAAAATAAATCTGAATTCGTCACCTTGGTAATTTTTTGTCGTGCAATTAATAATGCACTGCGTTATCGTACGTATCTTACTAGAGGTGTCGTACCTAGGTGTAATTTTTTTCCACGTGTATCGTTGCACATCGATCGATCGCGGATGTACGACACGTTTCGTTCGAATCAATGTACGTTAAAGATGCACGAGGGCTTAAGTGCGGTATAAACACGTGAAAGAGCTAAGAACTGTATCTGGAAGAGAGAATGAGTGTAGTTCTCGTTATAGTGCGGTATACGCTCGTCTCTTATGAATATGTATCACAAGGCATTATAGCTGTTTGTAAGTAACGCGTGTGCCTGTCTTATTAAGAAGTGCCAAATCCGTTCTGTGCTAACCGAAGAAATCGAAACGAACTTCTCTACTTCCTGTATCGACGGTGATCGCCATAGATTACATTGTTCTACGGCACATTCCAGCTTATGCGAAAGCAAAACATACATATACGAGCGCGAACCAAAATATATTGCGTTCGCACGACAACGAGAATGAAAGCGGACTAATAAATTTATAGCATGTTCTAGACCTACCAAATAATATCTTAGAGAGGCAGTTTTTTGGGGAAAATTTTTTCTCAACAGAAGTGTTAAGAGGATGCTGAAAGGTCGGAATTACCGACAAATTACAGTTTAGTTAATTTCTCCGAATTGACTGAACGGAATTGAAAATCCTTTCAGAGGATTAAAATAGACATAA